CTACTACTACTACTACTACTACAGTGGCAGTGGTGAAGAAAATGACCAAGAAAGGAAAGGATCATTGCATGAAAGTTACCTTCAAACGTACAAAAATAATACATACTCAATCTGCGGACAGAACTGTTTCGTCCTTTGTGGACTCGTCAGCGCAGCACAGAGGAAATGAGGCCGAACCTGATAGCAATGGAAATGAAAATTTCCAATCAGGCCCGAACGTACCTTGCCAGAGTGCTCAAACTGACAAGTCAGTGAGCTCTGCATAACGCAAACAGCAAAGGCACTACCCCACGCAAGAGTGCTCAACTGCTACAAGAGCAGGAGCGAAATACTCAATCTGCGGACAGAACTGTTTCGTCCTTTGTGGACTCGTCAGCGCAGCACAGAGGAAATGAGGCCGAACCTGATAGCAATGGAAATAAAAATTTCCAATCAGGCCCGAACGTACCTTGCCAGAGTGCTCAAACTGACAAGTCAGTGAGCTCTGCATAACGCAAACAGCAAAGGCACTACCCCACGCAAGAGTGCTCAACTGCTACAAGAGCAGGAGCGAAATACTCAATCTGCGGACAGAACTATATAATAATACATAGATAGATTACTGTTCATGGCTATCAGGTTCGGCCTCATTTTCTCATTTATTGACTCCCCAAAGGACGAAACATTTCTGTCCGCAGATTGAGTACTTCGCTCCTGCTCTTGTAGCAGTTGAGCACTCTCATGTCAGGTAGTGCCCTTGCTGTCTTCGTTATGCAGCGCTCACTGACTTGTCAGTTTGAGCACTCTGGCAAAGGTACTTTCGGGCCTGGTTTTAATCTGGCCTTGGACTATTTATGTTTCATCCCTATCAGGTTCAGCCTCATTTTCTCCGTACTGCGCTGATGAGTCCAAAAAGGACGAAACAGTTCGGTCAGATAGATAGATAGATAGATAGATAGATAGATAGATAGATAGATAGATAGATAGATAGATAGATAGATAGATAGATAGATAGATAGATAGATAGATAGATAGATAGATAGATAGATGGATGAATGGATGGAGGGGCGGACGGACGAACGGATGGACGGACGGACGGATGGATGGATGGATGGATGGATGGATGGATGAATGGATGGATGGAAGGATGGATGGATGGATGGATGGATGGATGGATAAATAGATAAGATGGGTGGATGGATGGACAGACGGACGGACAGACAGACAGACAGACGGACAGACAGACAGACAGACAGACAGACAGACAGACAGACAGACAGACAGAATGACAGACATATAGATAGATAGATAGATGTCGCCATGCAAACAAAAACCGGCTCGCTAAGTATAACGGAATCACGAAAAACCGGACATGGACAGAGCAACCTGATGACCAATGGAACCAGACATACTGCACCATTATTGTTGTGTCAATGATTCACGCCAATATCGCACCGTAATGGCCTTGCACCCTCTGACGCCAGGCATGTGCTAGTGAAGTCCAGATTAACGCGCTCAATTAAGCGCTTGTTACAATAAAGGCCAATTGATATCAATACTTTACACTGCCTCCACCTAGCAGCACCTCTTCACTCTTCACGCTTCACGCTTTCATTCTGTGTGCCTTGCTGTGTGGTTGTGTATATCTTTAGTGGACCTGACAGACCTGCTCTAGCTAGAAAAGTTGCCTGACGATTGAAAAACTCTAGAAATTCGGATTAGCAACGGGTTGTGTTTTCTTGGTGAGGACCGCTTCCATTGTGTACTAGCTCCAGTGCACCCCAGCGCTGTTGAGCCCTCTTTGCTCTGGACAGGACCATTTCACGTGTAGATAAAAGAGTAGTTCAAGATCCATTCCCGTACACTGTTCGTTTAAAGCGCGCTTTGCTTTTCTCTCCAACTCTGTAATTGTGATATCAACTTTCTTGTACATTATTGTTGTTGTTGTTGTTGTTGATTTTTATTTTACTTCGCAAGGTCAAACGCGCAATGGTGCCCAATTCTATGGAAGCCAATTTCGAAAGGAGAGAGCTACGGAGAGAGAGAGAGAGAGAGAGAGCGAGAGAGAGAGAGAGAGAGAGAGAGAGAGAGAGAGAGAGAGAGAGAGAGAGAGGGGAGGGAGGGAGATGATAAGTAATTTTGCAGCGTCAACAGAGCGATTTTGAAGTGTCAAAAGAGTGAACACAAAGAGTTCATTTAGGTATCGGACAGAAGTGCCTTCACCTTCTCCAAATAGAGTGTTTGTTTCATTGCCACTAGCTTTCCACTCTTATCAGGGGGCTTGAATATATTACTAGAGTTGCTGCGAGGGTCTTGCTAGCTCCTCGCCCTCCTCTTTGGTAATGGTTTGCTTCGGGGTCGGTGTGCGTTTTAAGTTGCCAGAACGTCATTAGAGAGGTTCTGCATAACGAATTTCGTTGCATTTTTTCGTCACCATGAGCGCGCAGCGAAAAAGTGGACGAATATTCGTCGAAGTGGGCCCGAAACTCGAATGTTCAGCGAACAAATTCTTCGTTGCCCTTTTGCTTCACTCCGGATACCCTTTCTATGTAGATCTACAGTCTTGCTATGATCTGAGTCGATCAATTGTTAGTTTCTATCTCCGTAGCACGTTGTTCAGTGTGGTAGCTTCAGCTTACGATGGAAGCTCTTGGACGGCGTATGGTGATGGAAGATGATGGTGTGGATCCGGTGCAGAGACCCGTCGTGCAAGCGCCAGTTCTGACTTCATCCTGCTCGAGGTCTCCGTCATCGAATTCGAGTAGTGGGAAACAATACAACAACTCCTCGTTATCATCTCCCAGGGTTCTAGCCAGGTCAAAATAGTAGAGGGGTCGGCATGGGAACCAGTTACCCTATATCCCATTTTCCACTTTCCAATATTGTCTTGCCACGTTAAATGCAACGTATATGGGGCGAATCCCTGACTTCACTCCAGACAAATGTGCCTTTATGAACCATCTATGCATGAAAAACACGAAAATCGGAAAATGAGTAGGGGGCGGCAATATTTCACAGGGGGGGGGGGGGCGTTCAAACCGAGTAGGGGGCGCTGCGCCCCCTACTCCCTTTGGCTAGAACCCTGTCTCCTATATCCACCGACATCTCCTACATCCACGCCACGGAGATCACTTTCCGACTCAAACAAGTGCTTTCGCTCCGGAAACACAAGTCAGAAAAGAACAGTAGAAAGGCAGCATTGAAAAAGCAGCGAAAATTGCGCAGCAGAGTTTTGTCCTGCAGAACCTACCGGCGTTTGAATTTTCGCGTCTCAAATTTCGTCACCTTTTTCGTCCAGGCAGGCACAGTGTGTTGGTCAAAGACCATGATTGAGATACGAGAGGTACCTGGTTCAAGTCCTGCCTGGGAGCGGTTTTTCCAGCCGTGCTGCTACCCACAGTCAACTGGGAAGTTGTGGCCAGGCACAAGGGGTACATGGATTCAGCTAATGGGGTCGTTTTCGGCACTTGTGCCAACTTGTGCCAGTGGTTGTGAGACTTACCCAATCACCCCAACCGTTAGGTGCTGCATCTGCCGCTAGGGTTTATCGGGTGTTAGCGGCCGTCGTGAGTTCCCTTCGGGAACGGATACGATAAATTACTTAATTACTTACTTTTCGTCATCAGTAGAGACAAAATTCGTTATGCAGAACCTCTCTATTCTTGAATGTAGCAAACTTCCTCTCCTCTGAGCCTGGATCGAGAAGGCGACAGAGCTTGCAGGAAATTGAGGGAGGCTGTGGAGATCAAAGATTTAGCTCCGACGATAAACACTAACGCTGGGTGGTCATTGCTGCAATTTGTATCGCCACTCGCTTATTCTCTGATTTTCATGACATTGGGGGCTGAAGAATGTGTTTTTGTTTTGTTTTGTTTTAGCTCAGCTGTAGTCCCCTCCACTGATAGTCAATGTTAGCGCCCCTAGCTGAACTCTTTTCGCGCTGCTTCCCATACCCTCTTACTGACAGGGGGTTTGGCCTTTATCAATGCTGGTTTGGAAGCTTGCACATCATTGTGAACATATTGAACGCAATTTGCGGAAACGTTGGAATGATTATTGTGACATGAGTTGAACTATTGCAGTGTTAATGGAAGAGAGCGTGTGGGCTCTACTCTTATCTGTTTATGAAACTACAAGAAGCCTCCCCACTTTTACTTAAATAATAAATGCTGGTCATATCCTTGCCTGGCGTGTGCGGTATATGTGGGCCATTTTGGGGCTTGAAAAATGTAAGTTCCTGGCTCGTGGACTGCTGGTGTTGGGATGACTCATATTCTCTCACTAATAATTTGTTACATTCGCTTTTGCACTGATGGACACTGGGCCTCTTGGCTTATGGAGGGCTCCTATGCCACATTATGACGGCTCACATACAATAGTCCTCAAAACCGCCATGGGTGGATGCACAACTCACACATGTAGTGAAGCCAGGAATTACTAGTGCCTATCGGGCCACGGACAGGTGCAGAATGATTGTTAAAAAACATTTTCGTATTTTGGGCAACACCCACCACCCCCGTTTGTGCGGGTTTAATGATTTTCAACAATGCATTGATTTACTATAGTTGACTCTCAGTAGTTTATAAATATGGTGGTAAATACACACCTGGCAATATGGCGGTAAACAAACAGAGAGAAGGAGAGCTCTGTGCCAGAGTTTTGCAGATTAGAGAGGGAGTGTGGGCAGGTGTGTGTTTACCGGCATATTGCCAGGTGTGTCTTTACCACGATATTTATCAACCATAAGTACAGCTGCAGTGGTGTCTTCAACTTCATTCTCCTGACTCTCAGTAGAACTTCGTAATTCAGTGCTTTTTTTGCATTTGGTAATGCTTTTTGAACGGAACTTCTCAAACTAACGCACTCTAAAGGTTCCTTTCGTGTAAATAGCAATTGGTAAATTTGGATAACCTCTAAATCCCATATTTAACTTTTCCGATTGAGACACATGGACGATATGAATTTCTCTGAAGCAGGTAATAAAGGAGATTTAACCTTGCCCTTTGTCTGCTGTTGTTCAGGGATCTGTCATTCACGAATCTGAGTACGTTACCCGTGAACTTATTTGTGACTAACAGAAAGTTGCAGCGCCTGTAAGTGTTACTGGTACCGTTACATTATTTAGTGGTAATAGTGGTTGGGCACCAGCAGTTGGTTGGCTGTTGGTGTATTATATTCTTCTTCTCCAGAACAAACAGGCAAATGTAGCCTTCTTTACTGGTAAAGGGAATTGCCCAATCTCTCACGAATGAAAACAAAGGAAAGAAAGGAAACCCACGATTAATATGTTTTGCCTTTTTGGTTATGAAGGCTGTCTGATGGAAAGAAAAAAAATTATCATGTATAACCCATGCCCATTCTGGTCGTAGGGGCGTCATGTGTATCATAAGGCAGTAGCATCACAAGAACAGGAAAGAAGAACAAAAACGTAACTTAAAGAAAGGAAAAGGACCAAACAACTACAAGTTACGCTGTAATGTCCACTAACACCGCAAGTTACTAAACAATCAGATCACGTGATAACTGCTAGCCAGCTAATTGTAGAACGTCAGTACCGTCTTTAAGTGTCGTGCAATGTTATCGCATGAGCTGATTATTAAATAACTGGTGGTTTTAGTGGACAATATAGCGTGACTTGCAGTTCCTTGGTACTTTTTCTTTCCTATAAATGTATCCTTGGCTCTCCATCTGAGTCCTTTCTTGCACTCCTGAAAACCATAATTACTGTACTCAGGTAAACAAGCTGCCTATACCTATCACTATCAGCAGCAACGAGAGAGAGCGAGAGAATTGTAAGATTCATTGGTCCAGTCATTGATTTTCGTGAAGCAATTGTGACGCGGCGACCACGGGGCCTTGAGCCAGGCACCATTCCATCTAAGAAAATTAATAGTGGCAGTAGCCATCATGATGCCTTGCTACATGTCAAAACCACTTCAACATACTAAAGTATAAGAGTACAGAGGCGATATGCTTTGGTTCTGCAAGAGTGCTCAATGCCTGATTCAGGCAGAGCGGAGTACACAAAGGCACACAATGAAAACCTTGGCAAATTTATTCAGACAACGATATTATCGTTGTCTGATGATTGGTTCAGCCATGAAACTCTGAGTCACAACGGAATAAATTTGCCAAGGTTTTCATTGTGTGCCTTTGTGTAAATTATAAGAGTATTATGAGAGTGTTAGGCCTTGACGGATTATGCTAATATTTTCGTGAAATTATGCTTTTCGCATTGCTGAAAAAATTGCAGAATTATGCTATTTGTATGCTAAAAGTTATCATATTATGCCGCATTATGCTCACATATGCTACCACTAGACATGGCATGTTCTCTATTTCTTTCCTTGGCGCTGATAGGTGGAATTCTCTGCCTGTCTCGTGTCGTCAGGTTGAGCATCTATCCGTTTTTGTTTCGCTCTGTAAAGAGCACTTAGGGTTCCCTGTAACAAGACGGCAACGTCTGTAGGGCCTTCCCTATCAAAATAATAAATTCTACTACTACTACTACTACTACATATGCATAATGGTTCTGTGCAAAATAATAGGGGAATTTTGTTGTAGAGGGCGTTGTACTGTAGTAGCAAAAGTTCAACGGGGTCAACGCACCGTCCGACCTAGCTACGACCATCACTGATTGTAGTGGACTGGACATGTTATCAAGGGAGTCGTAAACCTACAACTTCCTAGTGCATCTACTTGTACTTGTAGAACATGTACAACTGTATGGAATTTGATGCGAACAGGTGGATTATTACAATTTTATGCAATTCGTATGCAATTTGCCTCGAATTATGCGATTATTCGATTTTGGTAAGAATTATGCGAAAAATTATGCTAGCATAATCCGTCAAGGCCTAGAGAGTGTGAAGAATTCCAAATATGAGACGGAAGGAGGCAGAGATAGTGAATGCCTTATTGCTTTGTCAAGTGAATCCTCTACGCTCTGACAAAAAATAGAAAAAGCAGCAACACTTGGCCATGTACAGATTTTTCATCAACAGCCACTCAAGCACTGCACTCTCCAGCCGACCTCAACACCTAGCCCAAGCACACAATCAGCAGATCGGCACGTCCGTTGGTACTGAATTCCTTCATGCCGATTTTCCGAGTATAATTATAACTCTCATCAGTGAAGGCGCATATCGTAGAATGGCTATTAACGACAGTGAAAATAACACTTTAGTACCCAAAGGTGTAAGCATAATCCCAGCGCGCAAGAGGCGCGAAGATTGTGGCTAAGCAAGAAAATCAAGTGCAAAACGTTGTGAAACACTAACCTGGGGTTGATGTAATGGACCGCTAATGGTTGAGACATGAGAGTGCTGGTAGCCAGGTGCGACATTGGCAGACCACAGCATAGCAAGCGGCGAAATGCCCATGCGTATGCACACCATCAACTCACTAACCACACCGCACCTCACCGCCATCACATAACGGCCATTCTTACCTTCCATGATACTGCTGTACACGTACTTGTAGCTTAGTAATACAATGGCAGTGGTGAAGAAAATGACCAAGAAAGGAAAGGATCATTGCATGAAAGTTACCTTCAAACGAATAAAAATAATACATAGATAGATTTTTGTTCATGGGTATCAGGTTCGGCCTCATTTTCTCATTTATTCCCGTAGCTATGCAGAAGACGTTACTTCAGTAACGTCTGGCGCTAGCCAGGGTCCACACAGATTTAATTTGGTGTTTGTTTGTTTGTTTGTTTGTGTGTTTGTGTCACGCCTCGAGCTATCCCGTATCTGTCCCGTATCTGTCCCGTATCTGTGACTACAAAGGCTCTACAGGATTGTACATAACAGCTGGCCACAATATTTACTGGCTCCCGTATCTGTCCGGTACCATCCCGTACAAACAGCTGGCCACAATATTCGTCGTATTCTGTATACGACTCCCTGGTGTAGATGGTGATTTGGACAGAAATAGGGAGACGAGGAGGAATGAATTTAGAATGGACGTTAGGTGCCGAATAGATGATAGGAGGCGACAGATCCCGTCGTCTCCAAAATAAGCGTGAACGAGCGATTCAGCGCCGGTCACAGGAAACGTTCGAAGAAAGATCCCGTCGACTCCAGAACGCCCGTGATCGGCAGAGTCCGCGCCGGTACCAGGAAACGTCAGGACAGACATCCCGTCGAGTCCAGAACGCCCGTGATCGGCAGAGTCAGCGCCGGTCCCAGGAAACGTCAGGACAGACATCCCGTCGACTCCAGAACGCCCGTGATCGGCAGAGTTAGCGCCGGTCCCAGAAAACGTCAGGACAGACATCCCGTCGACGCGCAGAAAACTAAATCTGCAGCCTCTTTTGCCGTCGGACAGGATACGTATTTTAGGAGACTGTAAAGTTATGTAATGTGCTACCATGGATTCGGCCGACCTCATTGGCTCAACAGGTCAATGTATTACTACAAAAAGGCCAGAAAAACCCTATTACTGAATTAAAATCAACTAATTTTCGCTGGCGATATAATTTGGCTGATATCGCCGCATGGTACCAAAGGGCCAAAGTAAATCGCAGACCAAAGTTTGTCATAGAGGCAAATGATGCATTATTGAGCAATGGATGCATGTGAGAGCAAAAATTGGAGATCGATTTCTTTTTGAAAACTCCAATCGGCCAAAGTTTAATACAGAGGATTAGCAAGACGAAATTCACGTTCGCGTTCGCTCTCCAAGGAAAGTCGAACTCAGTGACGGAATTCGCGTTATGAGAAGGATTAGCAAACAGAATTCGCACATGCATGACGTTGACACGACGTACATTGTGTACAGACAGTACAGCGTGGTAAATTTATGACTGCCCTGGCACGAATCCGCGATTCGTGTTCCGATTACTTTTCCGAACGAAAAATGCGAAAGTTCGCAATCCAGTTCGCGAACTGAAAAATGTTTGCGAACGCGAACGCGAATTTTGTCTTGCTAATCCTCCGTAATACGGCGAAAAGTTTCGTTTCGAGATCGGCCAAAGTTTCTCATCGGCCAAAATTTGTTGATTTACAGTATAAGGAGATAAAAAGAAAAGAAGGAGCAAACCAAAAGTGGATGAAATTAGGGAAATAACAATCTGCAATAAATTCTGCAAATACTTTTGCCTAACACATATTCAAAATGATTGAAACGTTTTTGCAATACAATGATGTGGCCAATCAGCGGAAAAAACATTTCCATCAGTTCTAATAACATGTACGATGAGCTAGGCAAAAAAAGCATAAAAGTATAGCGTAGGGCCCTGAGCTTCCAAGCTCTCTCGTTGAGTCCACAAAGGACGAGACATTTCTGTCCGCAGATTGAGTACTTCGCTCCTGCTCTTGTAGCAGCTGAGCACTTTCTTTTGGGGTAGTGCCCTTGCTGTTTGCGTTATTCAGCGCTCACTGATTTGTAAGTTTGAGCACTCCGGCAAATGTTCTTTCGGGCCTGGTTTAAATCTGGTTTTGGCACATTTATTTTTCATAGCTATCAGGTTCGGGTTTGCATAGCTATATGATTTAGGTATCACTCCACAGCAACGTGGGTACAGGGGCTGGCCCAGATCGTCGCTCGTCGGCACCCTGAACCAAGACCTGCTCAGTTGAGTGAAGCAGGGCCTCTCGAGCCGAAGCCATCTGGACGACCTAAGACAGTTTGCTGCGGATCGCAATGGATGGCGGCAGATAATCTGTCAACAGGTTAGAGTAGATAGCAGCTTGCTGTCTACAGCATTGGGTATCACCCTTCTCGGCTTTCGCCTTGTTGAGCACTCTCAGTAGGCTGCTCTAGTGCGGCTGCATCGGGCAATGCCCGCTACTTTTTGTAGTTTGAGCACTCTCGTGCTAGAGCGACCAGCTATCTTAATGTCTGTGGTGCCTCCTTTGCACCATGGCTGGTAGCTCGGCCTATTTAGCTCGTAGCTGTACTGATGAGGCCTTAATGGCCGAAGCAGCTTGCTGTCTACAGCATTGGATATGAGTAGATAGATAGGGAGAGAGATAGATACTGTAGCGGACATGGAAATCTGGCCGGTGCCCTCAGCCCGTAGGGAACGCTGCGTGCAGTGCACAAGTCATGTTATTCCGATGCGACCAGCGCGCTGCATCGCATAAATGCATGTGTGTACCGCTTATCCACGGCTGCATGGCCAGCGCCCTGGGGCCGCTAGACGTGCGATCGGATTTCCATGTCCACAACTGTATAGATACAGGGGGAGTGGTCCCGTCCACCGCAAAGAGGGCTCAACAGTGTTGGGGTGCACTGGAGCTAGTACACAATGGAAGCGGTCCTCACCAAGAAAACACAATCTGTTGCTACTCCAAGTTTCTTGAGTTATCAATCAGGCAACATATTTAACTGAAGCAGAGCTGTAAGGTCCACTAAAGATATACACAGCCACACAGCAAAGCGCACAAAAAGAAAGCGTGAAGTGTGAGGAGGAGAGGCTGCTGTGTGGAGACGGTGTAAAATTGTCCATTATTGTAACAAACAATGACTCGAGCGCGTAAACCTCTAGCAAAAGAAAACCGACAACAACGAGTATTAGCTGTTTTGGAGGATCAAGGACAGGGCCAGCTCGTACAACCCCGCAACGAATAGATGTTGCCTTTGTACCACGGAGAAGGTACGTATCCTCACTGCTGACATGACCCAAAGCCTGAACAAGAGAAGCGAAATCATTGCCAAATGTCGCCATGCCAACAAACACCGGCTCACGAAGTTCATCGGAATCACATAAACATGTGACATGGACAAAGCAACCTGATGACCACTGGAACTAGACATACTGCACTATTATTATTGTTGTGTCAATGATTAACGCCAATATCGCGGCGCAATGACCTTGCACCCCTGACGCCAGGCATGCGTTTGTGAACTCAGGATTTACGCGCTTGATTCAGCGCTTGTTACAATAATGGACAATTTTACACCATTTCCACCCATCCGCCTCTCCTCACACTTAACGCTTTCTATTTGTGCGCGTTGCTGTGTGGCTGTGTATATCTTTAGTGGACCTCACAGCCCTCCTTCAGTTAGCATGGAAATACGCATTAGTGGTCCCAATTTATAAGCGCAAAGGCTGCCGGTTGGATGCAACGAACTACAGACCCATCTCCCTACTGTGCTGTACTTCAAAGCTGTTTGAGCGCATTGTGTACGATCAGCTATATCGACACTTGTCCCCGTACTTGCATACCATGCAGTCTGGTTTCCGGCGAGGGGACTCCACACCTCTGCACCTAGTCCACCTAATCCAAAACATCATGCAGTCCCGACATTTGAAAGAACATACTGGCATGTGCTTCTTTTACCTGGCGAAAGCCTTTGACACTGTTTGGCGTAGAGGCCTGATTGCCAAGTTGGGTGCCTATGGCATTGGTGGCAACCTGCTTTGTTTCTTTGAAAGCTACCTAACTGACAGGTTACAGGCTGTACGCGTCGGCAACACCCTCTCGTCTCCCCAGGCAATTAATTCTGGTGTGCCACAGTGGTCAACCCTGGGGCCACTATTCTTTTTAGTCTACGTCAATGATCTACCGATGTCTGTCCCTAATGTTTCACTGTTCGCCGATGACACCACAGTTTCCGCTTCAAGTAGTTGCAAGCAATTGCTAGTCAATGCCCTCCAGAAAAAGATAAACTCCACCATTTCTTGGATGTTGACTTGGAAGCTGAGACCGAACACTTGTATGACCAAAGTGATGTTCTTCTGTAGCGGTGCTAGTGATCAGTTCTGTAATGTGTCTTTATCATGTCCTGGCAGCTCATCGACCATAGAAATTGTCCATGAACATAAGCACCTTGGTATAATTATTGACGACTGTCTAACATGGGCTCCTCATGTAGACTATATTTGCAAGAAAACTAGTAGTGTTCTCGGCATACTATATCCTCATCGTTCTCATTTGCCAAATACATGCCGTTCTATGTTTTATCGCTCGTATCTATTACCTATTTTCCAGTATGCATGTCAGTCTTGGTGTAGTCTAAGTCAACATCTTGTAAACAAACTTGAAATCCAACATAAATCTCTTCTTGAAATATTGTTTAACAAGCAGCGTTTATTTCCTAGTCTTGAGCTCTATTGTATCAGCAATACTCAGCCACTGCAAGATAATCGCAAACAGTAGCTTTGCGTTTTGATCCACAGAATTCGCCTAGGTAAAATTCCCATTCATCTCTCCGTATTCAATTGGTTTACTCTGTCCCGGTCCACTCGTAATAGTCTCTCCCTTCCACGTGCTAATTCAGCCGCATTTACCAACTCTCCTCTGTTTTTGTCCTACAGCCTTTGGCTGCAACTTCCCCAGCATGTTAAGACATCAAAATGTATTTCCAGCTTTAAAAATGCACTCCGATCGCATAATGTAGTACAATAGGATCTCATTGCTGGATTCTTGTCTATCCTTCTTTCTTCTCTTTTTCTACATTCCTTTCTTTTCTTTTCTTGCCGTGGTTGGCTATCACCCCTCTCTCGCACTTTGCGTGCCAATTGGTCATGAACCACGAGTTGAGTGAAATAAATAAATTAAAGATATGTTGCCTGATGATTGATAACTCAACTCATTGATAACTCAAGAAACTCGGGATAGCAACAGATAGTGTAATATTTGTGAGGACAGCTTCCATTTTGTAGATAGATAGATAGATAGACAGAGAGGGAGAGCATTAATGCATTTAATACGTTCTAGCTTATTTATAGGCCATAGACTTAATACTTTCAGTTTGTCTTTTGCCTTGTTGTATTTTCTATTGGACCAACATCCCAGTTTCAGCAAAAAAGAGTCTAGTTAATTTTTTGCACAAAATTAATTTAAGCTAACACATAAGGCATTATCATGTGCATTGTGTGCTGTGTTATTTATCTTGTCCTTGTAATAAATCAGTTATATTTTAGATACCCAAATCACTCTGGATTTGGCGAGCGCATGTGCTCTTGGTGTTGCGGAAGAAATACTCAGACAAAACAGGGGTAGAATCCGTGGAGGTCCTCCTTTGGAGTGGTTTGCCAAAAGCTGTAAGTTGAATAACAAAAGATTGCTAGATAACTTGAAAACACCCTACTTTCTCTGAAGAGGGTCTCAGCTCACCCGAATAATTGAAAAGGGTTGCTGATTCCCCCCCCCCCCCTCCCCCAAGGATATAATCAGAGCACATATGAAGAAGGGAGGAAAAAGGAGATTTGTTTGTACATTGTTTCAAGCCTCTTGTACGGGCAAAAATACCATCTTTATCAATGATAGGAATGCAACTAAAATCCAAAACAATTTTAAAATGTAAAGAACTCAAAGCAAATAAAAAAAACTCAAAAAAATGAAAAGAACCCAAACATAAAGAAAAGAACCCAACCAGCCGCACACGGAGCACACAAGAGGCAACAGCATAACAATTAATAAGTGAACTTCCTCAAAAAAGTATCAATGAAATCCATAAATGTAGACCGGAACTGGAGCCTCCGACTCAGCTAGTGCAGCAGACGAAGCACCAGCCTCCAGAAGCACGGTACGTCCGAACAGCTTCCTGCAACCTCGGAGACACATAATACAAGACCTACGTAGCGAGAAAGACAACTAATTTACTTACATCGAACATAGGACGTGACGTGACAATACTGCTCGGACTTCTTTGCTGCCAGAAGAGCGGCCACCCTTGCGTATAATGCCGATGCCACCTTCCCCATCCCTCCACTTGCCGACATCACCACTGGAACAAAAGATAACTGCTCCACGTTCCAGACACGTTCCTCATAATGTCGTCTTTTCTCCTTCTCGTGGTGTTGGTACACAGTGGTACGTGGTGCAGATCGATTTCAGCAAGTATATGGGTTAAACACCCGAACATCAAGAAGGGTTCGCTCAAATCGACTGCCTCACAAACCACTGGCAGCCACATCCAGTCGTGCATGATTCTCTACATTAGCAGTACGTTATCTCAACTGCTCACCAGTCGGCGGCTGCAACACAGGTTCAATGGAGACATTGGAGCACACCTCATCCAACAACTGGGTAGTTGTGTCTGGGATAGCGTTATGTCCTATCAACGGGAAACCTCCACGTGGACACGAAAGCGAGTGCTTCACATTGACTTTATGGCCACAGGAGCAATGGGATGGAAGCCTTGCAGGTGCCCACCCTGTCCGATACCGGAGGCACAACCCGTCCCAAAACTCCTGCTTGCTGAGAGTGCAGTAGCCCTTGGCGGATTATGCCGGCATAATATTTGGCATAATCTTGGGATTTCGTCAAAATATTATGCTCCGGCATAATTATACGGATTCCAACGTGTAAGGTCGGCATAATCCTTCGGTTTAGACAAAAATTATGCTCAGGGGCATAATACAGCTTTGTCAGAAAGCCTGCAGATGTTTGCTTTTTAAATACGTACCCCATTTACGACTCCTTTTCATAGGCCATTGGCGGATTATGCCGGCATAATATTTGGCATAATCTTGGGATTTCGTCAAAACATTATGCTCCGGCATAATAATACTCAATGTCTTCTTCACTTCGAACGCTTGCGTCTCAACGTAATGACAGTAGTACAGAACAAGACTTTGGTGTGGGTTCATTCAATGTCCGCGGCTTGTCGTCAAGCCTAAAGAAACAGCAGCTTGCTGATGACCTTCGGAAATACAAAATTAAAATTTGCAGTTTGCAAGAGACTAAAATAAAGGACGGCTGCGACGAACTAGCTGGTGACTACAGGATATTCTGCTTACCAACGGCGAACAGGCATTATGGGCTTGGGTTCGCTATTCACAACAGCCTGTTTGAACGTATTCATCGGATATGGTCAGTATCAGACCGAGTAGCTGCGATACAAATCAATTTGTCCAAGAGAAGTACTTTATCTCTCGTCAATGTGTATGCGCCAACGGCAACCCGCGTAGCGGCAGATGATGTCCATCTCGACGAGTTCTACTCAGCGCTCGGAGATTGCCTGGGTTCAGTAAGGTCCAGTTCGCTCGTTCTCGTCGCTGGCGACTTCAATGCCAAACTCGGCCAGAGGGATGACTCAGGCGGCTCGTGCACCGGACGATATGGTCGTGGACGTCGTAACTACAGCGGAGCTATGCTAGCGGATTTCTGCGAGTCGTTTGATCTCTTTGCATGTAACACTGCCTTTCAACATCCAGCTAGGCATCTGACAACCTGGACAGGTTGGAGGCACAACCCAAACGGCGGTTGCTCTATCCCTATATACAATCAAATAGATTTCATCTTGAGTAGCAGCAACCAGAAGCAGATTTTCACAGATGCCCGATCCTATGCTGGGACACTGGTGAAATCAGACCATCGGCTCGTTGTCGCACGCGCCCGTCTGAGCAGGATCTATGGTCTGTGGGCACATAACAACAACAAAAAAAGAACCGCGAAAGCTCAGAAGTTTCAGGTTCATAGATTGAGCGAGCACACCTGCCGTCAAAACTTCCAGTCCCAACTCACCCATCGGATCGCCAACGGCGCAGTAGACACATCCACACCGGAAGCACACTGGACATCGATCTCGTCTTTCATCCAGCAAACGGCAAAGAATACCATTGGACTGGCACAGCCCCCAAAGAAGCAACAGCGTTTCATGGATGATCAGCTACATTCCTGGTCAGAAGAGAAAAAACGGTTACGACTGCTGATAACTACAAGTAGGGATCCACGGCAAGTGACTGATCTGAAGCATCGGCGGAACACCCTCTCACACCGAATCCGGCTGCGAGCAAAGGAACTAGCATCGAATGAGCTGGACGCTCGGGCGAGGGAAGTAGAAGCAAAGAAGGATACAGCACAGATGTTTCATGCAGTCCATCTACTCCAGCGACAAAAACAACAGCCTATCACTGTGCATGATGAAGCGGGTAGACAAGTAATACAGCCAGTCTCGGTAGCCATCCAAATCACCGACCACTTTTCTAAGCTGTACACACCGGAGCCTGGTGCACTGTTGCTGCGGCGACCAGGCCTTGCCGACCAGGATTGCGCTATTCAGTACCGCCGGCTTGAGCGGCCCATTTCTGAGGCAGAGGTGACACAGGCAGCTGGAAAGTTGAACAATGGCAGGTCAAGTGGCCCAGATAACATGCCAGGGGAGCTGCTAAAGTACTCACCTGCCCTCGTCTACTCCAATATCGCCCAGGTCCTCAACTCTGCCGTCGAGACAGGCCTGCCCCTGAACAGCATCGGTAGTGGGTCGCTTATTCCGTTACAAAAGCCTGGCAAATCAAGGGGACCAGTCGCTCACCTACGGCCCGTGGTTTTACTCACAGCGCTCAGGAAGATTCTATCATTGATTGTGCTGCGGAGGATCAACAAGGACGTCAACAACTTCGTTGCACACACACAGAGTGGTTTCCGCCCCAGCAGAAGCACCACAGATGTTGTGTGGTCATACCGATGGTTGGCGGCTCGATGCCAACGCTATCGCTGTGCGCTGGATATCCTAGGCATTGATATGTCAAAAGCGTTTGACTGTATAAGCAGGCCACGGCTCATCTCGGTGCTGGGATCGTTCTTGCAGCCGGATGAAATCCGAATGATCAGTTACCTCCTCCAGGACACCGTACTGCGGGTTGTACTCCCATCCGCTAAGGGCCCGTCATTCCCCACTCTCCGCGGCACACCCCAAGGTGACTCGTTGTCTCCTGTTCTTTTCATTGTGTACCTTGAGGGTGCGCTGCGTGATGTCCGGCCTCTTCTTCTACCACGTCCCCCTGCCGATATCTCCCTGGGGTTACCAACTGAAACTGCCTACGCCGACGATGTGGATTTCGTGACTACTGATGGTGAGAGGCTGAGGACCCTCCTTCCAACCATATCCAACAAGCTCCTCGAATGGGATTTGAAAGTGAATGAGACCAAAACAGAGCACACGCACATCGAACGGCACACTGATCGCATCGAGGAGGAGTGGCGAACCACCAAGAAACTCGGGTCCCTATTAGGTGATGCCGAGGATATGCTACGGCGACAGCAACTGGCAACTGTTGCCTTTGGTAAACTCTGGACGCTGTGGATCCGTAGGTCGCTAGTTTCGGAGGATCTCCGCATCCGGCTCTATAATGCCTTTGTACTCCCTGTACTCTGCTACAATTGTGCAACATGGGCACCAACGAAACAGCAGCTGAGCCGTATTGAGGCCTTCCACCGAAAACAGCTGCGGGCGCTAATCGGCATTGTGTTCCCGAATCGGATTAGGAACGAGAGGCTCTATGAGCGTACCGGCGCGGTTCCTCTCCGCATTATCATCTTGAGAGCTAGGTGGAGGCTCTTTGGGCACGTCCTCCGGCTCCCGGCTGACTCCCCACCATCCCTGGCCATGGGAGCGTACTTCGCAGAGCCTCGTCCAGCGGGCTGGAGGGGACGACCAAGACACACACTACCGACGCTACTACAAGATGATGCCAAGCGGATTGGACTTTCCTTGTCAAGCAAAGTCGATCTGGAGGCGTTCCGTGCCCTTGCTGCTGACCGAAGCGGTTGGGTGGGCATCTGTGCCCGAGTGGTGTCGGCACCCTAGTTTTTGTCTTCTTTTCGCATATTTCTTCTTTTTTTTGAAACTGTTATGGTCTTTTGTATCTATTCGAAGTGGCTTATGCGAACATTTTTGGCTGGTTTGCATGATTCGCATGCCCATTAATGCAGCTGCAGGCCATGCTGATGTCTACGCGAACAAGCACATAATAATAATAATATAATAATTATACGGATTCCAACGTGTAAGATCGGCATAACCCTTCGGTTTAGACAAAAATTATGGTTAGGGCATGGCCGTGTGTGTATGCGTGGTTTCTCAATCCTCTATGTACAGCGTGAATACATAGTGGAACCGAGCATAATTCAGCATAATTCAGCATATTTGTTGGCATAATTGTGGCATAATCAAAAGCATAATTTGACGATTGGCCGAGCATAGTCCGCCAAAGACTAGACTAAAGTTATACTTCCTCAATGGGCGACACGTTAGCCAGCTCGACGATCCCTTCGCACGCGCGACTTCAATGCTGTTGCGCAGGGCCTCGGAGGA